CGTTCTGATGTGCAAAAGGTTATCCACAAATCTTTTCTGCTCTAATCCACACAGCTGGACCAGGCAGATAAATGGATCTTTGATTTGGATGTGTCCTCTAATTGAGTTTAGTGTTTCGAGGAGAGACTGAAATATGCACAACCGTTCCAAAGTTTGGGGTCAGTATGTTTTTGTTTTTCCTTTTTTTTTTGAAAGAAAGAAAGAAATTCGAAGTTATTCAAAAGTGACAGAAAAGACATTTAAAATGTATTCATCAAAGAATCCTGAACAAAATGTATGAAACCCTGCTAAACCACCTCTCATCAAATCAGCCAGCTTTAAAAACTCACAGAAAGGTCATGTGAACAACTGAATCAGAAAGACTGCTTGAATGAAAGAGAGATAAGGAGAGATTAAAAGAGAAAGATGGATCGTAACAAAGAGGTAGTGGAAGAGAGAGAGAGAGAGAGAGAGAGAGAGAGAGAGAGAGAGAGAGAGAGAGAGAGAGAGAGAGAGAGAGAGAGAGAGAGAGAGAGAGAGAGAGAGAGAGAGAGAGAGAGAGAGAGAGAGAGAGAGAGAGAGAGAGAGAGAGAGAGTTTGAAGGGCCGAGAATGAATGAGAAAGGAGGAGAAGGAGTGAGTGGAGTGATTCAGCACTGGTACAAAAATAGATGTTACAGCCAAACAAATAACGCAACAGGGACTCATAACTCTCTCTGTGCTGCCTGTTTTATCAAATGAGCTAAGAGTGATGACACCGTGCTTTCATTATTAGGAAGAGATAGGAAGGGAGGAAGGGGGAAATGAGAGAGAACGAGTTTGTGAGAGTGCTTCACACTGACTAAACTAGTAATTACAAGGTTGCAAAAGAACAGTGTTGAAGTTAGTGACACTCATCTTGTTTTAAGTTCGATGCACTCAAAAATCATTAGATAGCTGCAAATGGTGAAATTTAGGCAAGGGAGACCTGACCAATCACAATTCAGTATCCAAATAGATGTGAATAAATTAAACCAATCACAATTCTGTATGCAAATGCCACAGCGACATCACTGTCAGTTAGAATATGAATGCTGAACATTCTTTTTTTTTTTAAGCCATCAGTCTGCAATCATTTGTTTTATAATTGCAGCGGGATTCCAGGTGAAAAACTATATTACCCACGATTCTGCAAGAAAATCCACCAGAAATTTTCCACCAATCAGAGAACTGAGACAAACAAATCTTGCCAAAATAATTCTTCATGGAGGTGTGTGGGAACAATCCCAAGAAATATTTTGACTAATTATTTTGGCACCGTGAATGGCATAGTCTATCTTTATGCTCCTAAACTACTAAAATATTTGTATAAACATTTATTGTTTCTTTACATAATCAACATCTTTAAATCAAATGTTTTTATATTTATCCAAGGTTTTACTTTGATTATATCATTCATAATGCTTCATGGGATTATGAAGTCTTTCCCTCATTAAAAATGTATTTTTTAATAAAATTTTTGCTTAAAATTTACGTTTGTATTGCTGTGATGATATACAGTATTTAATTATTTTGATGCAGGTACTTGAACATGAACCCTAGTTGAAGGATGAATATGCTGAGTTCAAGCTAATGTAAAGATGAGTGGTGTCTGTACCTGGTGGCTGTTGGGAAGGACGGTCCACACTGCCTGAAGAAGGGAGATGGAACTGAATTCCTATAAGCAAACATACACATAAGCCTTTTGAAGCCAGACCACAGTCCACACTCGCACACAGACATAAGACACAAACATACAGTACATACAAACATACATACGACATTTTGAGCTCAGTACACATTCATCAAAACTGAATTTTGCATCATGGCATTTGATTTAAACAGAAGTAGTTTACAGTTGGAAAATAAAAATTAATAACAAAAAACCTGATGAAAAGTGATCATCTTCTGAATAATAATAATAATAAAAAAATCTTCCACTGTGTATTTAAGAGACCACATACATCAGACCCAAAACCACTAAAAAAAATAAAAAATAAGTCACTTCAACCTAAACTAAACATCTGTGTTTTAGTCAGAAAGCTAACAATTTTAGAAGTGAAATCATAATGTTGAAACTGAATGCTGCAATCTAATGAAAACTGCATGAGTTCAGTGCTGCTTCCAGAACCTTCTGTTCACTTGTTCTTTTGTGTAATGTCACACTGAATTATTTGCAATGACATCTATAGTGTTACTGCTTGTGGTAATTTGATCAGCTATAAACTTGTCAACCTGTAGGGCCTTCGTTAGGAAATTAATATTATTATTACATCAGATCAAGTAGTATAATAAGGCTTACAAACAAAAGGATGCGTACATGTGAGAACTGAGAAGAGAGAGGTACTGTAGCTTACAACAAAGTGTTTAAAAAAACCCTGGTTCAGAGTCCACTTTGCAACGGCCTAAAACAGTTGATGTTCTGATGTAAAAGTTCTTGTTTTATTATTTAATTAAATGAATAACATTCACTTAGTTACAGATCATCATGATTGCAGACATTTAAGTTGATCTCAGAAAAACCAACAATCAGCTGACAGAGGCGAAGATACAGAGAGATAAAGAGGCTCGTTTTCACATGGTTTTTCAGGCTTCAAGATCTCTGTGGTTAATATTCGAAACCTTAAAGTCCAGATGGTTTCATTCTGAAATTTTGTAGCCATTAAGAAAGAGAAAAAAATCACAGTGGCACAACAATATTGAGGCTGGGTGGTTAAAAGCCCACATTCATGAGCCAGACAAGGCACACAATGCACAAGCAGCCAATGAAATGTGCAGTACCGGGAAACCCCTCCCCCCCAAAGAAACACTGCTTTTACTACACTTAAATAACCCATAAGGCTCTGTCAGGTATTTCCAACCCACTGAAAAGACTTGCAATGACTTAATATAGTGGGGATGGGACCAATGAGCATCTTAATGTGTTTATTTGTTTTGCTACAGTCAGTTTTGTCCTGCACTTTAAGCACCTGTGGGTCTGTTCTAGATATGTATGTAAAACCCACTTTTATTACTTAAGAAATAGCTCTCCAGCACAGCAGAGGGCAATGTGTGGACAATGCTTAAAATAAGGCCTGAGAGCTCCGGTATGAATAAAGGAAGACCTGTTTGCAATGGCTAAATCCCAATACGCATGCTAATTGTACGATATAGTATATGAGATAAAGATTAGTGTCCACCGAATCACAAAATTGCATACTATTTCTAGTGAATGTTCAAAATATGCATCTGTCTGTGCTTTGTAGCTTAATATTTCCCACAACCTCTTGCGCTACACAAGGAAATCGTGGTCGCTGTTTGTAATGACTCTTTGATGCTGTATTAAGACCATTTTATGACCATACTGTATACATAGTTGTGGCATGCGAACTGGGAATTAGCCAAGATTTCCATTCTAACATTGAATATTTACAGATTAAAGATATGTTGCCAGATTTAATTTGTAGGGAAACACATTTAAAGTCTTTATAAGCTTTTAAAACCACCCAATATTTGCACTGTTCTCAAAACTCACTATTAATGTCTGTCATTTGGCTGGCTGACTAACAAAAAAGCAGAGAGCCCTGAAAGTCCAGGTTTTAAATAAATAAATAAACAAGCAAATAAATCTAAACATAATTAGATGCATTAGCTACAACCACTTGATTAAAAAAATACTTTCACTACTACTAATAATGTAAAACTGCTATCTCAACTACATTAACTGCTTCAAGAACTACTTCAGTTTTAGCATGACTCTGTCATACTAATTAGATGTAAACTGTTGCTAATAATTAGAATGCTAATAATTAATCACTGTATCCGGTTTCACAATTTCCTCTGATTGTCAGATACAAGGTCATTGCATTACATTTGTCGATACAAACCAAATCTTAATTGTTAGAGATTGCCAGAGTATTTTCTTTAGTACCCTGATATTCCCTCGCATACATGTACATAATATTCTTAATAATACAAACAGACTGCTGATTTGACATTAATAGCTTCAGTCACCATATCGGCACAAATAAACTGGCATCTTATTTTAAAGATGGGGAGCTCTCATAGCAGTTAATTAGAGCTGCGTGTGTAATGTTATTCATATTTGCAGGAAAGATCACTGGATACAATAGGCTGTACATTTAAAATAATACACGGAATTACTGGGGAATATATTATATGTGGAAATAATAAGGATGCACAGTATTTTGTATCTCATTTATAATAATATGTGTGGATTTGCAAGATTAGCATCGATTTGTAAGAAGTGTGCATGATTAATTTTGTTTAAAAGGTTACAACTAACTGTACAAGTATACCAGTCACCTCAAAGTGCGTGTTTATACCACAGGTCTTCATTCCTTACCCATATGCAATTGTGTGGTCTGCAGATCTATATCCCTTTTTTAAATAAACTTTAAAACAACCCACATGCTCAGTGTATGTTCATGTAATCCCAGCAGATTAACAGAGTTTCAAACATCAGTAACCAAATTCCTTAAATGTAATTAACCTTAAGAAATATCCATTTAATATTAATATCTGATATATTTCCACATATGAATATGCCCAGAAAGAGAATCCAAAAATATCACATTCAACATGTCCTATTTCCCACCAGATCTCTATAAGATTTGAGCAAAAACAAAGAAAAAAAAGAAAAGAAACAGCAGTCACTTCACAGATTTCCGTAACATAGACGTTGTATCTTTGAAAATTTCACAGTACTAATATGTCCTCCACTTTAACAGTGAGACTTTGGCTCTGAAGTAAAATGGAATAAAGGATGCCATCATTCATACCAGAGAAACAACCACTACATTACATTCAGAGAAAAAAAAAGATTAATAAAATCCTTAAAATGTATCCAAGCGATATGCAGTTGTATCAGGTCTTTGGTCGACATCCACTTCATACTCTGTTTTGTTCCATCTGAAAAAGTATTCTCCCAACCCCCCATCCTCTCAGAGCATGACAAAGGACCAAATTTCTGGTTTAACCGGGACCATTTCATACAGAGATCTATTTTACAGTTTACTCTGTATTTCTAAAGTTCATTGGAGAGAGTGTCTTGACTGGAAGTCTTCGTTCTCTGCCAAAAAACAATCACAGTATTTACTAAAATACATTTCAGTCTCTGTAAAGCCAGAGAGTGTCCCTGGAGAGGAGTGAAGTTCAAGGTGACTCGCCAGTTTTGCAGTGTAAATAGGTGCTGAATATCTGGAGTACACTAATGCAGTCCCATTGCTGTCATCAGACATCTTTTAGCTACAACCCCTCTCATGACTTCATTCATGCCTTAATTGTAACAATGTCTTATCCCTTCTACTTTTTCCTTTTAACACTCTCTACTTCGCATTCTCTCTTATGTAATCACACACACATTGGGGAGACAGACCTGTAAACATCTTGCTACATAACCTAACAGTCTTACATTCTGTCTATAAATATTATATATGATTTTCTATTGCACACCCCATGTAGCTTCATGCACTTTTTGGTGATCTCAGAGTGACAGTGACATATAAGACATCACTGAATTGTTTGAGTATTTCTTGTGGTAAATTTCCATACTGGCACTCCGTGACATTGGCTGCCGTCCACGTGCTTTCCGCTGCCATCGAATCCACAGGAAATCCCTACCGGATAGTGAATGAGAAGGGCTGCTTATGGCTGCTGTTCCCTTTGGTGATCCATTATCGCTTGTTTCGCTCTTAGATACGTCTAAAGCTGACTGGAGCTCCAAAAGGGATAAATTGAAGGGGTGCACAGTCGCTGGGTCTATGGTAGCATGTCCAGGTGGATTCAGCTCCTGTGATGTTGGTTCATCCATGCTAGTGACTTCAGGATCAAACGTATCTGACTCAACTGAGCACAGAACGGCAGAGTAGAGAGTCTCAGACTCCAGGTGAGCTGATTCCACAGTGTCTGGGAAATTTATCATCGGGTAAGGAGAATCTACATTCTGGCCATCTTCTTCTTCAGAGTAGGACTCTGGGACGTTAATGGCACTACCTTCAGCAAAAACCATGAATGTTTCCTTTTTGGACCACAAAACAAGAGCCTGAGTGTCTAGTTCATGTACGGCTGGCTTTTGACAAGAAGAAAAATGAGGTTCAGGACTTGCTGGGTTTGATATGTCAGACTCTGTTCGGGATTCAGGCTCTGGAGTGGCAGGTTGGAGATAAATGGTGTCCAGTAGTTCTGGAAAGGGTGGTTCTTGTTCTGTAGACTCACAGGAATATTCATAGACAGTTTCTGGGGTTGGAGGATTTGGTAGAGCCAGATCTACAGGACCTGGGCTTTGAGAGCCAGAAACATTGAGCTCCAGAGATTCTAAACTTGGCCATTTTAAGTCATGAAGATTCATAGAATCTGGGGTCATTGGACTCAGGACAACAGAGTCCAATTCTAGTGATGTGAAGTCCATAGTTTCTTCATCTGTTTGACTCAACAACAATGGTTGCATGGATTCTAGAACTGACTGTTCCTGTGTAGACGTGCTACCAAGGTCCATTGTATATGGACCAGGTTGTTCCGGAGATTGTTGAGAGGGCCGATCAAGAGATTCTTGGGGTGGAGAGCCAGTATCATCCGGATCCAGTTTAGGCCACTGCAAATTGGCCAGGTTCACTAGTTCTACATTTGTGAAGTCTAAAACAATGGATTCCACATGCTCAGGAGTTGATGACTTCGTAAAGCAATACGGTTCTAATACTGGTTCTGGGGGATCTGGAGGAGTCATTGAGTCCGAATCTAGATCAGGCCAACAAAGTGATGCCACATCAATAGGATCTGGAGGGGTAAGATTAGCAAAAGTAGGATCATCAATCTCTGCTAATTCAGAGTTGGGGTCAGTTTGAAAAAATGGTGAAGAGGCCGAGACGTGCAGGACATTTTTATCTGCAGGTTCTGAGGGAGACATGGAAAAAATATTGGGATCAACTGGTGAGGGGCAGTTAACCGCTGCGTCTGCTGTGTTCTGTCGCACCAGTGTCTTGCTTCCTGCCTGGGTGCTGACAGACACTTGAGGAGCAGCTGTCTGGGTTTCCCTTACCCAGCTCGGTGACCAGGTGCTGTAATGTTGCGTAAAGGTGGAAAAGTTCATGTTAAAGGCTCTGAGCTCTGTGCACAGATCCTTTCTGAGATCGGCTAACTCCTTACGCATGGCTGACACATCATCCCTCCACTGCTGGCTGATGGCCAGGGCTAGATCTGCCGTCTCCTGGACACTTGACTGAACAGGGCGCGGCCTGATGGGTGCGCTCGTTTTCAGCGGGGGTAACGAGGGAGACGTGGTGGGTGAGCTATTACCATAAAGGGTGCTGGATTCATCTCCTCTCCCGCGGAGGCCCATATCCCCACAGGCCATGGAGGTTAAGTCTGGCCCCTCGCTGAGTAAATTGTCCTCATTAAGCAAACCCGTGCCCTCCAGCACATCATTTCCCTCTGGAAGAAAAATATAAAAATGCCAGTGTATGTAATGTGCCCAGTGGTGAGGCCAGCTGGGGAATTGTGCTGTTTGCAGGCTCCATTTAGAGTTCAACCAAACATGTGTGAGCCAAAATCAGTTTCAGGCCAGATCAGGGTTAAATCTTTTTTGTGTGAATGATGTTATCACATAGGTCAGATAAAAATGTTAACAGTCCATTGCAGGGATATGGGAATTAATTATTTATTAGAAAAAGAGAAGTATGTACACACTTTAAATGGAAGGGCTTTGTAAAATTGTACAAATTGTTTTGAGGTTTGCTCAGTATGCAACAAACGCAATCTCAACTCCCTGTTTTTAGGTGGCGGGAGCTAGTTATTGTGAGTTATTGTGATCACGCTAGCAAACAGATCCCATTTTGACTCACAGCTCTGTTATTACTCTGCCTTCTCACTCCATACTTTATTTGCATATTCATCTCTCAAAGCACAAAACAGAGAACTGAAGCCTGAGGACACCTGCAGGGGATAATAACAACGGCATCTCATAGAGCATTACCAGGTCCCTCTGACAGAGCAGGTCTGTGCTTTGTGCCTTGAAAGGAGGCAATTGCGAGCAAAAGCTTTTCTTTTCTTTTTTGTGTGTGTGTGTGTGTCTCAACAAAGCAGGTATGAACCCTATTGAACATGAGAGGTCCACTGACCAGGTCTTTACTGGGGGAATCATTGTCTTCAACCGGTACCTCGACACACAAACAGCCAAATTCAAACAAAAAATTTGCTCATTGCTTTATAAATAGTTTAACACATGCAATTTTTGTGATCAGTGATTGTATTCTTTGAAATATTCCTTGCCCAGTCACTGTTGCAAAATATATATGAGACTTACTATAATGGATTTAGTCAAATTAAGCTCAAAATCAAGTGTTTTTAAAGAGATTCCCTTTGTGAGAAAGCCAATATTGCTCGTTATACTGCAAGCATATTTCAGTGAGAAGGCAGTGCAAAAAAAACGCTAGAGCATATTTACTGTATATTTTCTGTCAAAATGTTTTGGCCTTAATTCACAATAACACTTAATTATATTTATTTAGCAGGCCTGTTTCACCACTGACCCTTTAACCGCCTGAAAACTCAAACGCTCAAGCACGGCTTCAGTTGCGGACCCTGTGGGAAAGAGAACTCAAAACTGATACGTTTAAAACCAGCTTCCACAGCCGGAAGAGAAAGTGAGAGAGAGAGAGGTAGAGACTAGGAGATGTGAGAGAGTGAGAAACAGAAAGCCCACAGAGTGACAATCATCCGACTGAGAAACATTTTGGGATCGCAATACACACCACCTCGTGTCTCCATCATTGCTTTTCACCCCCTCCCTGTCTGTTAGCCAAGAGTCAACTGAGGCAGAAAATAGGACAAGGTAGAGATCCAAATTGAAAATCTTGAGAGACAAAACACACAGTGGAAGAATAAAAAAGGTCATATCTTAATTTGGACACAATATTAAAAAAAATTTTTTTTGGATGTTTCACTTTTCACCATTTTATTTTTTTGCCACAATATTTGGGGATTGAATTCAATAGGGTTCATATTCTTATGCTCTGAGGCACACCAGCACTTACCTCTGGGTTTTGAAGCCTTACACAAAACAATCACTCTGCAGTAAGCAGTTCACATGCATGCATGCCATGCTACATGTAAAACGATGCATTCATTCAGAAATAATCATTTGAACAGCTTTTCCACTGATCTGAATCTAATTGGGAAACAACATACTCCTCAATGCTTTCATAGGGTTCAGCATTTATGCGTTTAATAATTAAGTCATGCAAATTTTAAATTCATGAAATTCATGAAATGATTTAATCACTGAGCTAAGAGCTTTTGTTTTTAAACGGACATTTTCTTAATTAAATTGCCTAATCATCGTTTTGAAGGTTACAATTGTATTACCAGAAACTGTATTCATAAAAACTGATTCAGGTATGCCTTAAAGCAGAATCAGACTATGTAAAATCAAGTTACTCATCAGTTGGCCATTAACTTTAATAGGAAATGTGAGTCAAATTGTAAATAGCAAAAAAAAAACCAAAAAACACGTCAATTGTTATACATATATATATATATAGTATTCACAGCTTTTTAACTATTTTTGTATTGTTAAAGGCAAACCTAAGTCACTGAATACAGTAAGTAAGTTATCTGGAATACTGCTACTGCCACAACTCTTGCTTTGAGACAAACACAAGCCGAGACCAGACAAAGGTGTGCATGGTTATCCACAAGGAAAGCCCACTTACCTGTGGTGGACCTGATGGTGGAGGTTACAGTTGATGATGTCATGGAGGGGACGCAGTCATCGTCCTGTGAGAATCCAGCCTGGATGGCTCGCAGGTAACTGTGGCTGCGTGTCCTGAAACAGCCCGGCAAGTCCAAAGCATCCATTGCCTGAGACTCCACCTCGCTGAACACGGATTCACACACTGACTCAAACTGTCCATTAACCTCGGTCTCGCTCACCTGCAGAAACAGAAAAACCAAGTCAATATATCTCAGCATGTTTCTTCTAACCATCCTCCCTTTTTTTTTTTTTTCATCTGGCTGCTTTCTTCCATTTTCATGGCTTTATTTGCAGTTAGGCCTATGTTTATCCCTCAGTCCCAGTGTTCAGTCTAATCTTATCTACACAGGACTGTACAGTACGTGAGATAAAAATTGTGATATTGTCACGGCAGAATCTCTACAGATCAAACATGAAGCCTTCCCGCAGATGACGGAGGAAATGAAATGCTTTCTTTAAATCCGTCCCATTCCTGAGCAATAACTGGTTAGATCGACTTGAAAAATCTGAGATGAGCATCTTTGTGATAAAGCGATATATCTAGTCAAGCTGAACTTGCCTGATAGGATTCTTACTAGCCATCAGATTCCCATTTGGCAATCTCTAAAATCCAAGATTGCCATCAAGTTCCATTAAAAGGGAATTATCCTCTAATGACCACAGCAAGTCACTGATGGTGCTTAGAAATCCAGAGCGAGTGAGCGTGTGTGCAAAATGCGGGTCCGAAGAAATAAAAACCATGTTGTAAGACCTCAAGACAAATCAATACAACCCACATTACTTCACTTTCAGAGAGATTTAGATGTTAGAGGCTGATAAATCTGGCTATTTAGAAACAGACAAACACAATAACACTATATTGTATATAAATGGGAAAATGGGGCCTAAATCCTCTGTAAGTGTTGTGTTTTTCTGCACTGTTGACGAGTATGAAAAACCCTAGATTACTTTAAGCTTTGTGAAGCCGAGCAGATGTGACTCTCACCTGGCTGACTTGGCTGACGCAACTGGCCTGGCTCAGGGTGCTGACCGCTCTCATGTAGCTCTGGTTCCTGGAGCGGAACTTTGGCGAGTTGTAGTTGGGAGACGGTTCCAGTGTGATGCTGGGATGGATTTCCCTAGAGGTCTGAAGATGGTAGCTTTGACTATGCAGTGAGACATGCAGTGAAGATGACAATGAAAGGAAGAGAAGGTAATAAAAAAGAAAGTGAATTATATACTCTATCTATCTATCTATCTATCTATCTATCTATCTATCTATCTATCTATCTATCTATCTATCTATCTATCTATCTATCTATCTATCTATCTATCTATCTATCTAACTATCTATCTATCTATATCTATGTATCTAATAACAACTAAGGATTACTACATTAAGGATCATGTAACAACTTTTACATTATTTATCTATGTCCTTTGAAGCCATCCTCTCTTTCTGATTCAATGCAACTTAAAAATGGCATTTCGATTGGCTGTGCTGAAGCATCCAATCAATGCAGGAAAATTAAGCACAATGCAAATTAGAGGCTACTTAATGAGGCACTGTGCCTGTGCACTCAATACTATCTAGAAAAAATACAACATCACGACTCCCCAAAAGAGAAAGACAGAGGAAAGGAAAAAAGAGTAATCCTATTTCACAAAGGTTCGATTTTATAAAGAGTTATAAAATTAGTTTTGAGTTGTCTTTACTGAATAACTTTTATTTAATGAGTTTTATTTTTCTAAGCATGTATCAAAGTCTACACTACCTTTACAAGTTTTGAGCAGCTAAGTGTGTGTCTGCTCATATTCACCTTAAATCTGCGGTGATATTGGTGAGGTATTTGACCATGTCCCGGCTTGACTTGTCAAAACGGTACGAGCTGTGAACAGAGGTGAAAGACTTTTAAGGGTTGAAAGGAGGATTGAATGACACACCAACAAGTTGATTTTTGTAGAAAATCTAAATGGTGAAAGTAACAGTTAACAAAATAGTTTCAAACTCTGGTTGTGTCTGTCGGAGTTTGGGATTAGTTAAATAATCTTTCCCGCACAATTCACACTGCAGCTATTCCCCTCTAGGAATATAATCACACTTTCTCCCACTTTCTCTCAACTCCAATCTCCTGAGATCTGCAGAAATGTGCACACAAACACATTCCCGTACCCTCAGTGTAGATCGTGGTGACATTTCTGCTGTGAGGTTCTGCTGGGCAAGTAAGAAACAGACCACACAAGCACAGGTCAAATGATTACCATTCAGCTATTGTTTGGTTGCTGGAGAGCCAACAGACAAAACCAAGGCTCATTCGAATCTGAGATCTTAGTAAGAAAAGATGGTTGGAGTGTTTGCTGATGAAGTTACAGAGCGTGAAGAGACTCTTCACGGACGCAGGGATGGATTTGACGCTGCTGTTGGTGATGCTTGAGCTCTGAGCTCTAAAAATCAATACAATCAATGTGTCTCCCTCAGTTTGCACGGTGTGCGTCCTTCTCTGCTGCTACGGGGGACATTTCTAAGGCTCTGCCTCATGCTGTAACTACAACATATTCTGAACCTCCACAGTTAAACTGCAGAGGGCAGATGTTCAGCATGTGTAAGCTCATTTCATTAGTGCGGTATCACGTATTAAGTTATTTTGAATCTTTTTAAAAAAGAAAAGGAAACTAATTTGCCAAACACAATGAACTTTTCTCAATGTTCCCAGCAGGTTGTTAAAAATCTAAGCATATTACAAATATACTGGGAGATTGCAAAGGACTCCAAAACAGTTATGAGTGGGTTGCACTCATTTCATGGTGCCACTTTACAGTGCTGTATTGAACTGATGATCTTAACACTGATTGTTGATGAGCTCCTAAGAATGTCAGTGTATCTCTTCATTTTGCTGAGCTTCTGCTAGCTGTGTGTCGTCAGCACCCTCTTACAGTCTCTCTATATTCTCTGGGGATTTCCAACAGCGGGTCTCGGCCACGCAGAAATAAATGATGCTGTTTTGAGTGATCAGCTTGCATGCACACTAAAAGCTTAGCATGCTTTGAGATGTTGTCACTGCATCATGACACCCCCTGCCCTGCCAAATCTGCACTGTTCCATCAGAAAATACTGCTGTTCTTTCCTTAGTGGAAAATGTAGCATTCGATCTGTTCCAAAACATCGTGAGCCAACCTCCAGCATTTTACTGTTTGAAAGACTGCAAAGTTGTTCTAAAAGGATTGGCCAAAGATATTGCAACATTTTATACCTTTTAAAATGGAAAAACAAAAACAAATTATAAATACAAATTTTATAATTAAAAACATTAAAAAAATAAAGTTAAATCAATGGGCAAATCAAGGCTCCAAAAATACAGAAATATATTGACAGACTCTGTATATTTGTGGAGCCGTGGAATGCCGACTTTATTTTTTTTCCTATTTTTAGTTATTTTTGGCTGAGCACTCACTTTAAGTGATCTGCCAGTGATGTGTGTGCCTCTGTTATGCGTTTACTATAATTAATAACGTAACAGAGACAATATTGGGTAAATATATATAGGGTACAACGGGGCTAAATGCGCACCGGGGTAAAACGCACATTTGACTTTATTCTCTTTTAAACCCAAAACCTCTTTTAAATTCTGCTCAGTACTTTTCTTAACAACCGCTTTTGATTATGCATTTGAAAATTTGTCTGATTCTTGACGCGATCACTGACAGCAATGCAAAGTTGATTGTGCGCTAATTTGATCTAATATTTGATGTTTTTAAAAATGTTTTAAAAAGATTTATGTAACAAATGAGAAGTGATAAAAAATATTGTCTATATTTTGAGACAAAGGTCTTGTTAATGTTTTTTTGTTCAGTTTTGTTCAAGGTAATTAAAGCAACAGTTTTTCAATAATGGAAGAATATGTAAAATGGTATAGTATGGTATTTGGGGTAAAATGTGCCCCTGCTCTTATCTAGTGCAGCCACTAATGACTAATTTTCTAACGACTAATCTTTCGACTAATTTTTCGATTAGTCGACTAATCTAAACAACTAATTAAAAAAATCAAGTGTTTATTTCGTTGTGTCCATTTTATTTTGAACTCAACTGAAGGGCCAAAACATAAAATGTCACCTGTTCAAAAACATTATGTATTAACAATCTAAGCATTAAGTATCTGCATTTCCATTAGGCTATACCATATTAGTCAGAGTCCTAATCTAATCCTCTAATAACAAACATGTATGTGTTACTTAAATTAGCTCTTTGTTCTGCCTTAAAAAATGTACAGTAAGCTAATAATGATTAATTTATGTACATTTCTGAAAAGCATAACTGATAACATCACTCTGAATAGTAAAGTAGATGCAATGCATTTTCTGTGCAAAGCGCTATACAAATAAATTGGAATTGAATTGAAAGAGTCTGGACTAGCCCACTATGAGTCGCCCTGAAAGCAGGCAGGCACGCAGTTATGTAGCTCGCGTTTACACTTGCGTGCATGGCGGGCCCGTGCCGCGGTTCGCGTGAATGTGAAAGCAACACGGACTCGGGAGCGCTTGTTCAGGAAGTTAAGTAACCTGCCCATGCGTTTTAGCTGATTATGATGCATTTAGTTAAATAAAACACATGTAAGGGATGATAGTGTTGATGATTTACCTTGGATACGCGAGAGTTGAGTCTGCAGTGTATTCGCGCATTGCGCGTGCAATCAGGGCAACACATTTGGAAATCTCCTCAAGAGTCCGTTTGAAAAACACAATATATTGACCCGCGTTCTGTTTTCTATCATGCGACGTGCACGTTTGCGATGGCATAAGATGCACGCAAACTCAACAGGGTTCGATAGAATTGAGTGTGAAACCAGACCAACGCTGCGGGGGGCGCCGGGAACAATCGCGCTCGCGCTCGGACTCGGACCGCAGCAAACGAGCCCACTGTGAAAGCTCCGTCACCTGCCTCCGCAATTTTTCATATCAAAGCAGTGAAGGCGGGCGGGAACGTGAAGGAAAATGATAGCAGATAAACCAGCAGGGCGCGCACGGCGCACAGACTGGTGTGTGGAGGTGAATTACAGTGAGCCGTTTGTGACAGTAGGAGACCAAAAATAAATAGCGGTCAATAGTAAAACAACACGTCGACTAAAAAAATTGCCGTCGACTAATTTGCATGGTCGATTACGTCGACTAATCGCGGCAGCACTACTCTTATCACCATATTTATAATGAAACCATCATATTTAAAAATATGATATTAATCATTTCATTTGAATAAAATATCATATGTATTTTCTACTACTGTAAAGCTTTATTAAATAATTGAGAGATCTCATTCAATGCTTTCAGAATCTTTTTTTTTATTTTTATAATTTTGTTTCTGTATTTTTTTAAATGAACATATTTTAATGACAGTATATTTTTTGTACAAAAATGAATTATTTTATTTATCAAAATAAACCAAAAATAGTACAAACTTTGCTAAAGTGATTGTTTTGAACAAGTATTAACTTAGACATTATTAATGCCAAAGCTGTATTTTCTTTATGTCACATGATCCTTCAGAAATTATTCTAATATTCTGAATTAGTGCTCAATTTTTTTTTTTTTATTAATGTTGAAAACAGTTGTGCTGCCTAATATTTTGTGAACACCATACTTTTTTTAAATTCAGGATTCTTTGATGAATAGAAAGTTCAGAAAAACAGCATTTATTAGAAATATATTTTTTCATGTAAGAATGCAAAAGTCTTTACTGTCCCTTCTGAGCAATGTAATATGTCCTTGTTGAATAAAACTATTAATTTCTTTAAGTGCAAGGTTTTGAAACAGAGACATTTGCTGCTTCCGAAAGCTTAGGCGGCTGACTTGTTGCCTTGCTGCCTTAATCAGGCATGACTATGAAGGCAGCGTTTGCGCATGAAGATACTTCACAAAACTGATTTCTGACAAACTTCAGAGGCAGCGTAAAGTTTTAATGATCTACAACAAAATAGAGAGAGCTTTGGTGATAACTAAGCGAATATTTAATTACTATAACAGTAATTTCACGCTAGAAATGACATCAAAAGTGGGACAAATATAGGTAAACAATTGACATTTACACAAACTGACCACCAACCGCATATTGTCAGATGCCATATTTATTTTTTAGCTGAACTGTCACGGGATTGAATGCTCAGGATTGTGGGATATCAAAGGCAGTAAATGATTCATCTATTAGGCTAGTGACAAATGGTCAAAAAGTGCTTTAGTTTTTGAGATACCCCTACCGGAGGTAGAACTAAACCCAACAATATTTTTCCTCATCTCTAAGGTCTCCCATATATGAAATGGATTCTTGGCTCAAAATATTTTACTGCTAAGATTGTTAAATTAACAGATATTGTTATAAACCCCAAAACCAAAAAAGGACTAAAATATAGCCTGTCCGTATGGGAGTTAAGGCATATAAACTAGTGCAGATCAATCACACAAGCTCTGAGAGCTTTGAAACTTGACATGTTTGTAGTCAGGAAGTTGCATTAACTACTAGAAAAGACTGGATGTGAATTTCTTGATGTATGGAATTAAATAGACACATATAAACACATACCTAAAATAAGCGGACATGCACAAATTTAATATCTATGCAGAATGTTTTAATTTACTTTGTGGTTGCTTTGCCAGGGATTATCATAGAAACACATATGACGGCTTGTTGGAAAGGTGGGCTTGTGCTGAATCTAGAAATACCAAATATGTAAATATTGCATGACAAATCAGAGTGTTCTGTCACTCAAATGTATGAGGTATCTAAAATGAAAGAAAATGGAACACTGGCATAATTTAGTCCAAAGCCCATTATCAGTGGTGAGAAGAATGTTGAGAAATTCAAATATAAGATACATTTAATTATGAAACATTTCATATGGCA